CCGGACTACTGGAGTAACTGGCTCCGCGGCTAGACAAGCGTCTGCAGCAACTGACCCACGGGCGACTGGAGCAATCGGCTCACGAGCTACCGAAGCAAGGGCATCCGGACTTCTGGAGCTGCTGGCTTCATGGCGGCTACCTCCATTCAACCTCCCCCCATTGTCCCACACCCCCTTTCCACACCCCTAGCGCCATTCCTTCGGCTCCCCACACCCTCCCCCCCTCAGCGGCAGCTGCAGCAGTGGGAGAGAGAGGAGGAGGAGGAGAAACAGATTACTCACACCCGCCACCCCCATACCCTCCCCCCCATCAGTGGCACGTGGGGCGCGCGGGCAGCAGGGCGCATGGGGTGCGTATGGCAGCAGGGCGAGCGGGGCGCACGGGGCAGCACGGCGCGCAGGGCGCTTGGGCATTAGGGCGCGCTGGCAGGCAGGGCAGCGCGACGCGCGGGCGGGCAGGGCAGCGCGACGCGCGGGCGGGCAGGGCAGCGCGACGTGCGGACGGGAAGGGCAGCGCGCAGGGCAGCGCGCGGCGAGTTTAGGGAAGCGCGCGGCGAGTTTAGGGTTGCGCACGGCGAGCAGGGCAGCGCGCGACGAACAGGGCAGCGCGCGGCGAGCAGGGGAGCGCGCGGCGTGCAGGGCAGAAAACGACGCGCACTCGGGGCGCACGACGGGCAGAGGCGCACGAGGCACCGGGCAGGGGCGCACGAGGCGCCGGACAGAGGCGCACAAAGCGCCGGGCAGCGTGACGGGCGGCGCGAAAGGGTGCGCCATAGCGGAAGCTAACGGTGGGCCCATTTTCATCAGTCCGAGGAGGAACCGCTCTGATGGCATGTCGAGATAGAAAGCGAGAACGAGAACAGAAGAAGAGGATTGTACTAGCAGGCACGTGGAGTACATATAGGAAACCCAAAAAGGGTTTTACTCTCTGTTGAGTACCCCACTACAGCCTACACAATACATAACATTCTGACAGAACTAGGCCGCTCTCCCAAGTCGGTCAGCAGGTAGGTGAGCCAGCGTAACTCCTGTGCAGCCATGGCTCCTGCGTAGATCTCAGCCTCACAATTGGAGCTGAGAACAGAAGACGAATTTGTAGAAGGCCAAGCGACAGAGCCGGAACCAAGGCTGAAGGTGTAACCCTGTGATGACCGCTGCGTAGCCAGGTCGTCAACCCAAGACGCGTCTGAGTGTCCAGTGAGGACAACTCGACCCCGTCCTCCAAGCACCAGCCCCATGCCTGATGTACTGCACAAGTAGCGCAGCACCCTCTTACAAGCCTCCCAGTGCTCTCGCCTGTGTCTCCCAGGTGCAACGTAGCGAGCCAGGATGCTAAGAGGGTACGCAAGGTCAGGTCGCGTGCAGGTCATCAGGTACATGAGGCAGCCCACAAGCTCTAGATACGGGCCACTCGGCTCTATGGACTCATCCGAAGGTGGAGCTGAGAGCGAGTGACCGGTAGGCAGAGGAGTGGACTGTGGTGAGGAGAACTGGAAGCCGAAGCGCTGAAGGACCTGCTGCACCATGTGTGAATGAGTCAGGGTAATGGGGCGGCGTGCTCTGTCCCGGATGATCTGCAAGCCAAGATAGCTGCGCAGCTCACCCAGGTCTGTGCACGTGTGTCTCTTCTGCAGCTCCGACTTCACAAGGGCTAGTGCCTCAGTGTCAGCAGTGGCAAAAACCAAGTCATCGACGTACACGAGGATGTAGAACGGCGGCAGCGAAGTGTCTGTGCGCAGAAACAGCGACGGGTCAGCAGTCGAAGGAGCAAACCCGAGAGCCGCAAGCGTCGTCCTCAGTGTGTCGTGCCACTCACGAGGCGCCTGGCGGAGGCCGTAGACTGGCCGCCGGAGGCTCCACTGGGTACCTGCAAGAAACGACCCAGTGAAGCCAGGTGGGCGGCGCAGCCAGATCTCCTCGTGCAGGCTGCCCTGTAAGAAAGCTGTGCTGAAGTCAAGAGAGTGAAGCTCGTATTCACGCTGGGCGGCAACGTGCAGCAGCACCCGAAGAGTGGTCATCTTCGGGGTAGGGGAGAAGGTCTGGAAGTAGTCAACTCCCTGTCGCTGACTGAAGCCTCGAGCAACGTAACGAGCCTTGAAGACAGGCGGAGAACCAGGCGGCCGCTTCACCCTGAAAATCCACATGCCATCGACTATGTTCGCCCCAGGAGGGGGAACTGCATCGACGTAAGACACTCAAAGTCCTCCTGCCTGTCCTCAAGAACGTCCGTGCCAAGAGCACACTCACCCCCGACTGACGGAGGACAGACAGACTCAGAATCAGCAACAAGACTGGCGGCGTAGTCTAGACGACACGCAGCAGCAAAGTCCACAAGCTTAGCAACTAAGGCAGACGCGACTCGCAATAGACTCAAACGACGAGTCAGTGACGACTCTGGCCAGGAGACGCGTGACAATGGAACTGGCAGCACGAACACGGTCAGACTCAGGGTCCGGAACGTTAGGAAGAGAGGACGCAGGAGGAGACGGCAGAGGGACGCGCTGTGGAACAGAGGAAGGACGAAGTGCCATAGTGTGAGTACCTGGCACAGGAGGAGGACGCGGACGAGGGACACGACGAGCACGGCGAACAGTGCAAACAGGGGAGGCAGGACGAGACGCAGGCTCACAACGCTCTGTAAGGGAGACCGGCTGCTCAGTGTAACGAGGTGGGGCAGGCAGCGGTGAGTCCGGAGGAAGGGCAGTGGACGAAGGAAGACTAAGAACCTGACGGAGCACCGAGTCGAGCGGTAGTTCGGACAGCTGCGGCGGCGGCAAGAAAAACGGTCGCTGCTGCACAGGGCCTCCAGCTCCAGCACCTCCAGCTCCAGCACCTCCAGCGCCAGCGCCTCCAGCGCCAGCGCCTCCAGCGCCAGTGCCTTCAGCCCCAGCGCCTCCAGCGCCAGTGTCTCCAACTCCAGCACCCCCAGTGTCAGGGCCTCCAGCTCCAGCGCCTTTAGCTCCAGCACCCCCAGTGTCAGGGCCTCCAGCTCCAGCGCCTTTAGCTCCAGCACCTCCAGCGCCAGGACCTCCAGTGCCAGCGCCTCCAGCTCCAGCACCTCCAGTGTCTCCAATGCCAGTGTCTCAAGCGCCAGCGCCTCGAGCTCCAGCACCTCCTGCAGCTCCAGCGCCTCCAGCACCAGTACCTCCAGCTCTAGTGCCTTTAGCTCCAGCAGCGCGACTCCTAAGGCGGGTGCGCCGAGCAAACCACTCGCGCAGCTGCTGTGGTGAGAGAGGCTCTCGCTGGCTAGACCGCTGCGGCGAGGCACCCGGAGGACCACCAGCAGGCGCACCCCCAGGCTCAGCTCCCTCACACGTAGCACCCTTAGGTGCAGCACCCGCAGGCTCCGCACGCACTGGCTCTGCACCCCCAGGCTCAGCACCCCCAGGCTTCGCACGCTCAGGCTCCTTACGCACAGGCTCAGCACACCCAGAAGCAGCACCCCCAGGCTCAGCACCCCCTTGCTCCTCACACTCAGGCTCGACACTCCCAGGCTCCGCACCCGCAGGCTCAGCACCTCCAGGCTCAGCACCCCGAGCAGCACCACCCCCAGCAGCACCTGAGTCACCAGTGACCTCGACAGGCTCAGCCAAGGGAAGTGGGTCTACCTGAGACACACCTAAAGGAGCATGACTCTGAGGGGGGGGGGGGGGTCCACCGGAGGGGGACCTGGAGCGAGGAAGAGCGGCGGGGGGGGGAGAGGGGCAGTGCGGTAGGGGAAGAGACGGTAGAAAGGAACCGACTTGTTAAATGTGACGTCCTGAGAGGGCAGAACCCGGCGCGAGGTGGGGTGGTAAAACTGCCAGCCAGGCACGTCAGGGGGGAAGCTAAGGAAGACACAGGGAATAGCGCGGGCGGAGAGCTTGTCCGCGGAGGTATCGCGGACAAAGGCACGAGAGCCCCAGACCCGGAACCGCGACGCATCGCCAACCTCCCCCGTCCAATGCAGTGTGGGCGAGGTCTCCGGCAAGGAGACACGTGGCCAGAGGTTGAGCTGATGCGCAGCGTACCGGACTGCAAACGGCCACAGAAAATGGGGAGCAGCCGCGTGGATTATGGAGGTACGAGTCACCTCCATGACTAAGCCAATGCGGCGCTCATCAATCCCATTTTGCTGTGGAGAGGCCGGAAGCGTGAACGACTGGAGGATGCCCTCCCCCTGACAAAAGTCCCGCAAGAGGTCGGAGGAGAACTCACCACCTCTGTCAGAGTGCAGACGCAGGTTAAAAAGGTCCATGCGGAACCGCTCGTGGAGCTGGAGACGAACAGCGCGGATCCAAGGGATCAAGACAGCAGGGACCTCACCCTTGCTGCGCAAGGGGAAGATTGTGATGTAACGCGAGTAGTCGTCAACAACCAGCAGAAAGTACCGCTCGCGGCCCAGTCCAGTGACGCGGGCTGGGCCCCACACGTCTAGGTGGAGAGTCTGCAGGGGAGCCTCTGTCGTCGGGCGAAACGAGGAGGAGTGAGGAGCGGCGCGCTGCTGCCCCTCGACGCAAGGAATGCAGGGCGGGGCAGGCGAGGGTGGGAGGGAAGGCAGAGACCTGGGAAGACCAGAGACAAGGAGGCGGGAGTGCATGCCACGAAGGCGTGGCAGGGAGGGGTGACCAAGGCGGTGGTGCCAAAGGAGAGTTTGGTGCGAGAGGAGGCGACACTCGCAGGGGGCTGCTACCTGACCTAACGCGGACACCTGAGCAGACGCACCAACCTGAGGAGGCGCAATAGTCAGTGTGTACAGACTCGACCCAGGCCGACGGGTGAACGTGGCCAGGTGACGGCCAGTCCGGGAGCACGTACAGATCGCCACACGCTGGCCTCCAGGGGTAAAGGTATCAACCCATGCATCCTGAAGGACTGCGTTACTCACCAAGTTCGTCGAGAACGAGGGGAGGTGGAGACCTGATAGTGAGCCGGACGGAACCGCCGAACACGGGAGAACAGTAGAGGAACGTGCAAGAACCGGGCCCCCAGAGGGGTCAGCCAGGGAAACTGCAACGGGTCTAGTGAGTGGTGTGACTGTGGTACTGTCGCGAAAGAAACAGCGAGAAGCACCTGAGTCAAGAGTGAAGGTGTGCAAGGCCTCAGCACTAATAGTCAAAGCATACATGCCAGCAAGGATAGCGTCATAGTCAAGAGCAAAGATATCAACACCAGACCTAAGCAGCTCTGCCCAGCGGGGCATCTCAGCCTCATCGCCAAACTCAGTGCGCCAAGCGTCGTCTAGGCGGGAGAAGCAGCGGTGCTGGGTGTGAAACTTCCCGCACGTCTGACCTGCGTGGTCACCTGTGCGAATGACGTACGGGCAGCGAGCACTACCCCCAGACGCCCCACGCTGAGCAAACCACTCACGAAGCTGCTGGGGCGTGAGGGTCTCACGCGGACGCTGCTGCTGCTGCCGCTGAACTGCTCCAGCCCGACCACCACCACTGCCGCCGCCACCACTCCCTCCACCGCCATCACCGCCGCCACCACCCCCACTGCCGCCACGACCACCACCACCGCCACCCCCACCGCTGCCGCCACCGCTGCCACCGACTCCCCCACTCCCGCCACCACTCCCACCGCCACCGCCGCCACCACCACCCCCCCCGCCGCCACCCCCACCGCTCTTGCCTCCCTTGACCTTGCCGCTGCGGCGCTTACCACTAGGAGTAGAAGTAGCACCAACCTCCTCAGCACCAAGGAATTCGACAACAGCAGCAGAAGCAACAGAGCGGGCAAGGGGGGAGGGGGAGCACCCCTCAAAGAAGGGCGTGCGAGGAGTGCCACGAGTAGCACCTACAGCGACTACACTAGTCTCAGCTGCAAGGAGGTGCTCCTCGAGCAGGTCAATAGTGAGCTTGGTGGGGTCAAGGGCGAGAAAGTGCTCTCTGGCTGTGCGAAGAGAGTCAGGGAGGCGAGTGACTATAAAGTAGAGAGTGATGTAAATCGGGGGCTCGTTCTTGGGGACGAACTCGGCTGGGAGGGCAGCGCGGTAACGAGCGTCGCTAGTGCGAAGGTGGGTATTGAGGTCCGCTACTGTGGCAAAGGAGGACAGCTCGGGAAACAGGTAGGGCAGTATAAGGCGGCCGAGAGCTGCAGTGGCAGGGGAAGAGTAGCGAGCGACTACAGCGTCGTACAGGCCTTTAGCAATCTTAGGCTGGCCAAAGTGAGCGCGTTCGGCTAACGGCAGGTGGTTGCGAACGGCTAGGCGAGCGGCAGCGTCACGGGTGAGCCACTGTGAGCGAGTCGCACTATCAGCTGTGTCGGGAGGGGCAAGACAGTCTCCGGACGTGTAGTCAAACAGCGAAACATTACCTTTAGAATCGCTCAGCATGTACAGCTGTAGGTCATGAAGCCACGTCTCGAACTGGATAGGACGGCCCTTAGGATTGAACTCGAGAACACTGAGAGAGGCCATAGCTTAGCAGAGCAGTGTGGCACGTAGGGCAGGGCAGGGCAGTGCGCGAGCAGGGCAGAGCGGCGCACGGGCAGAGACAGTAGTGCGGGGCTGCAGAGAGGGCAGCGCGCAGGCAAGCAGGAGCGGCGCGCGGCAGGCAGGGGCAGCATGCGGCAGGCAAAGGCGGCGTGCGGGTTTGCGCAGGACAGCGTGCGGGCAAGCAAGGGCAGCGTGCGGCTGGCAGAGCAGCGCGCGGGCAGAAAAAGCAGGCCGTGCGCGGTCACTAGGGCGGCGCGCGGGCAGAGCAAGGTGTGCGCGGGGCGGCGCGACGGAGGAGACTGCGGGCGGACAGGCGGACGCGGGCCGCGCGACGAAGGCAAGGCGTGCGCGGGCCGCGCGACGCAGGGCAGGGTGCGCTCGGGCAGCGCGACGCGGGGCAGGGCGCGCTCGGGCAGCGCGACGCGGGGCAGAGGCGTGCGCGGGTGGGGTGCGACGCAGCAGCAGGGCGAGCGCGGGCAGCGCGACGCAGGCAGGACAGAGCAAGGCAGCGCGATGGGTGGGGCAGCGCTACACGCAGGGTATGATCGGTGGGCCCTAACGAGAACGGTCCTGGAGCATGACCTGCTCTGAAACCATGTTAGAAACTAGCAGCAGGAATGAGATGGACTAGGAACAGTTGGGATACAAGTAGAAACCCTAGAATGTGTTGTACCCCATGTAAGCTACCCCACTACAGCCTACAAACAACAAACAACATAACAGTTTGACACTCCGCTTCGACACTTCCTGACCTCAGTCGTGACCTCAGTCAGAGGCCCGTCGCGCGTCACCCACAGTTTGTTACCGTTACCACTGTGGCCCTTCACTGTTTAGTTCTCGCTCATTCCTTCGCTCAATGTACTGTTTTGCTTCGATAGTGCAATTCTCGCTCGCTCGCTCAATTGCACTCGTAACACTTGGTATTCAGAGCCTACGATCTTCTCTCGGACCGCACCCACACCTTCGCTTCCCCACTATCTCAATTTTTGGAGGGGGTAGACGTCTCTCAGCAAACAAGCATCGCCGCTCGAAGTGCTCTCTCGTAAGCACGCACGCACAACCATGACCGAGGCTCCCGCTAAGCTTGCCTGGCACCTCCGCCATGGCCGAATATAACCTTGCGACGTTGATGCAGGAGCAGCTCGACCGTCTCGTGCGCCAACTCGAAGATTCGGCACTCGAAATTGCGACTCTCACGGCGGAACGCGATTCCGCCCGCCAGCAATCATTGACGAATGCACCTGCACCAACACCGACACCTGCAAATGTACCTGCACAAATGGACGAGCCGATCGTCATCTCGTCCGTTCCACCGTCACAACACGACACCGTGGGACAGCGTTCAGGCGCAGCCAGCGATGTCGCCGCCCGATCAATGCCGGGCATGGAGAGGAACAGGGCCGCACCAAGCACGCAGGGGCCTCGCGAAGCCCGTCGTCACGTCGATTTCGCAGTGGCACGTGGCAACAACGACAACGTCACGCCGATGCTACTCAAACCGCAGCGCCTGCCCTGTTTCGATCCTAGCCAACGTGGGGGTCCGACGGTTCAATCGTGGATCTTCACGATGAACGTCTTCTTCGACGCGAATTACGTCGAGTCGGACGCAGCGAAGATCCGATACGCCGTTTCGCTGCTGAGGGGCCCCGCCATGGACTGGTGGCGAGTCATCGTGACGTCGCCACGCGCCTACGAGCCGCCATCGCAAGAGGAAGAGCTCACGGGTCCAGCCGTCACCTGGAGTTCATTTTGCGAAATCGCCCGGTACAACACGTGGGACGCGTGGTGCGCGGGACTTCGGGCGTGCTTCGAGTCAATTGCGGCTTCTATTTCGATGCGTAACAAACTGCACACTTCGCGGCAGCTCGAGTCGGTTCAAGACTACACCAGCAGCTTTCTCGCTCTGTGCGAGTAGGTCGGCTGCATGCATGAGGTGGAGCGGGTGGACCGTTACGTCGGAGGGCTGAAGCCGGACATCTCGCACGAGATAATGCTTCGAGGGCTATCGAACTTCAACGATATTCTCGCGCTAGCGGAGAAAATTGACATTTTGCGCCGACCGAGACCGGGGTCCTACTACGGACATCGTCCTCGGGGACCGATCGAGCACGCCACCGTATACGCCGCTGCGGCGAACGCAGCTGCTGCACCATTCAAGGGGTGCTTCTTTGCTTGCAAAAGGCCGGGACATCGCAAGAGCGAATTCCCAGAGGAGCTAAGACGCCGAGGAGCAGAGCAGGGGAGGGAGTCTCAGAGGCAGGGAAACGCCAGCAGTCAGTAGAAATCGGGTCAACTACTAACGAGACGACTTGCTCGCCCAACCTCACCGACCCTCACCGAGTCACAGTACCGATTCACGCTATCGATCGGGCTCGGATGAATAAGGAGGGTACAGCGACGGATTGCCCAATACTGATTCACGGGAAAAGTACAGGGGGCAGCAGTGAAGATTTTTATAGACGGCGGAGCAAGTCACAGCTTAGTTAATACCGCGACTGCACGGATGCTGCAACTGACACTAAGTCGGTGTTTACCGGAGATAGATGCACGCTTAGTTGACGGCACGCCTCTGGCCATACGGCAGAATGTGGAGAGAGTAAAAGTCCGTTGCGAGGGGAACTTCGGGTTTACACAGGAAATGCTCGCGACGACACTGGATGGGCACGACATTTTACTGGGACGTGATTGGCTGCGACGACACAACCCGCGAATTGACTGGACGACGGGTAGCTGCACTGTGCGAAGTAGCGGTAACTGGGTCGAGCTACCTCGCTGGCAGTCGCCTGAGTCTTCAACGGTCCACGTCAACGCCATCACCGTCATGATGAAACGGGCTGTCGCCGCTGGAGCTGACGTGTACGCAGTGGACATCGCAATAGTAGGAGAAGCAGAGGCGTCGAGCGATTTTCAGAAATTGCTAGAAGTAGTACCGCTCGAACTACAGGAACTGTTGTAACTGTAACTGGGGATTTTTCCAGATGATTTACCGGAGGGACTGCCACCTCACGGGGCACACAACCACCGAATAGAGTTAGAGCCAAGGGCACAGCCAACTGTACAGCGACAGTTCAGACTGACACAGCCCGAGCTCGACGAACTGAGGAAGCAGTTAGATTACCTGCTGGAGAAAAAGTTCATCCGACCGAGCTCGTCACCGTTCGCCGCACCGATACTGTTCACACCGAAAAAAGACGGATGATTTCGCATATGTATCGACTACCGCGCACTGAACCGAGTAACCATCAGATCGCGATACCCCATTCCCGGCGCGGAAGAACTGATAGACCAACTGCGAACAACCCGCGTGTTCTCGAAGATTGACTTACAGGGAGGTTACCATCAGATTAGAGTCGAACCGTCAGTCTGCGCCAAGATTGCTTTTCGCACTAGGTACGGATCGTTCGAGTATACAGTAATGCCTTTCGGACTGACCAACGCACTAGCGACTTTTCATATGGCTATGAACGAGGCGTTTAGGCCGCTTTTAGATTAATGCATCATAGTTTACCTCGACGACATCCTGGTTTACAGCCGCGACATGCAGCAGCACTTAACAGGCTTAGAAGCAGTCTTCAAGATTTTAGACAAGAAGCGACTACTGACCAAGGGTTCGAAGTGTGAGTTTTTTCAGGACAGACTAGAGTTTTTAGGGCACGTTATTTCAGAGGCTGAAGTCGAAATTGGCCCGAAGAAGTTAGACACGGTAAAAGCGTGGCGTCCCCCGACAAATCTCACGGAGCTACAGAGTTTTTTAGGGTTCGTTAATTACGTTCGTCAGTTCGTCCCCGACATGGCGCGCTTAACGGCCCCACTGACGGATTTACTGCGGAAGGGAGTGGCATTTACGTGGGGGGAGAAAGAGCATGCTGCCTTCTCTGCCCTGAAAACTGTTCTCTGCACACCGCCCGTACTGCGCATTGCCGACCCCCACCGCCCATTCGCATCGGAGCCGTATTGCTACAGGATTTCGGCAACGGCCTACAGCCCATCGCATACGAGTCACGAAAACTGCATCCGCCCGAGAAAAGGTACCCGATACACGACTGCGAAATGCTCGTGATCATCCACGCATTCAAGGTCCGGCGCTGTTACTTGACCGGCGCAGACGTGACAGTACGGGTAGATCACAAATCACTTCAGTACCTCCGTGCACAGCCCCACCTCAACCCACGACAAGACCGATGGCTTGAATCAAATTTCCATTACACGGTCACCTACAAAAAAGGGGCATCGAACATCGCCGACGCACTGACCCGCCCAACTGCCCAGATACACGCCATACTACTCGCCCAGACCAGCCCGCTACTGACAGGCCTATTTACCCACGGTTATCAAACAAACCCATTCTTCACAGGAGGCAATTTGCAGCAGTTCGCGGCAGCAAAAGGAGTTTATTACGTGAAAGCCAGCACCGATCGCATCAGGGTACCGGGTGTTAGAAAGTCTAGGCAAGAATGAATGCATTGAAAGAAGGTTGGGTACAAGTAACAAACCCTAGAGGGGTTGTACCCCATATTGACTACCCCACTACAGCCTACACAAGTATAACATATATAGTTTGACACACCCCCATAGGCAAAGTGGGGGAGAACAAGGGGTCACAAGACCAGTCTAGAGAAGCAAAGCAAGCTCAGGGTGGATCACAACGTCACCAAACACTTTGAGCACAAGCTAAGGGCTAGAAGGCCAGTTCACATGCAGAAGTATATATGCAACAAGAACAGCACAGTGATCTCTACCTAGCAAGAGCAAGCATGCAGGTATATATATAGAGATCACAGTACAAGCAAAGTCTACAGCAAGTGTGGAAACGTAGGCACAAGGCCTAACAGGGTACAAAAGCGCTGATGATCACCAGACGAAAGCGCCTTGGTGAATATATCAGCAGTGTTGGCCCG